ATAGAGATGATCATATGGTCCTTGTGTTTGATTTTATTAATATGGTGTATCACATTTATTGATTTGCATATGTTGAACCAACCTTGCATCCCTGGGATGAATCCCACTAGATCGTGGTGAATAATTTTACGTATGTGTTGCTGTATTCTGTTTGCTAGTATTTTAGTGAGGATTTTTGCGTCTATATTCATCAAGGATATCGACCTATAGTTTTCTTTTTTGTTTATATCTTTACCTGGTTTTGGTATCAGGATGATGTTTGCTTCAGAGAATGAGTTTGGGAGCTTTGCGTCTGTTTCAATCTTTTGGAATAGTTTGTAAAGAATTGGTCACTAAGTCGCAGTCACATTCAAGGGGTGTGGAATCAGCCGGCCCGGTAGCGCACTGCTACAGTGCGCCGCTTGGGAGCGCGGCGATGCTCCCGTCGAGGGTTCGGATCCCACATACAGACCGGTTCCCGCTCACTGGCTGAGAGAGGTGCGGGTGCAACACTGAGGGTTGCGATCCCGTTGCCGGTCCCAGTCCGGTACGGGCGCAACACTGAGGGTTGCGATCCATTGCCGGACACGAAAAAAGTCAAGGGGTGTGGAATTAGGTTCCACCTTTTGAAAAGAGTAGTGTCAAAAAATAAGTGAACTTATTTTAAAATCACCACACCTATTTTTCATTTTCTCTAGAGGGATGAAATTGGCAAATCTATGACATGATATCTAAAAGGGCTCTTATTTTATATATCAAACTTAATGTTGAGTGGCTATGTATAAGTCCTATATATAGATAAAAGTAAATTTCAAGAACTAAGAATTAGAACAGTCCTGACAGACAAATTGGATCTTTTCTTTTTAACCTTAAAGTGACCTAAAAGTTTTTATGTCTATTTTAAACTCACTTCTATGATGGTCAAAAATACATTCCAGTTATTTATTTTATTAGAAAAACTATTGTAAATGGCTCCAGAATTGAGGTATTCATGGATTATGTCATTCATAAATCTTAAAAATAGTTGAATCTTTTTTCTCATAAGCTCAATAAAACCAAAATATGAAAATTCACAATTTCTGTTTTTTCGTACTGTGGCAATAAACAGGGAGTATGTTATATATAATGTAATACTAATTCATATCATGGTATTTAAATGTCTCAGTCCATTGATAGGTTGACCTAGTTTATTGCTTACGGAAATTTTGGATTGGTTTCTATTCTTATTCCTGATACAAATTATCCTGATGGAGAACTTTCTTCTTTAAAAGAAACTTACTTCTTAAAAAAAAAAAAAAAAGGATGGGGTATACCTTAATCTACACACTAAATGCTTCTTTAAGCTTGTATGTAAATAGTATAACTGTTAGCCAAATATTTTTTAAGTACTTCAGAAGCTTAGTATTTAAAGGAGTTTTATTGGGAAGTGCATTGTAAATGGAAATTATTATCTTCAGTTTATCTTACTCTAGCAGAAAACCTGATGAACGAAAAACCAATGGAAGGAAGTTCTAGTCCTCATTCTACTACTGATTTTCTGTGTATCTTTGGAAATCACACAAATTTGTGAATCTTTTCTCATTTTTAAAATGAGGGCTGGCTGGTTAGTTCAGTTGGTTAGGGTTATTAGAACCCTTGTCAAGGGTTCAGTTCCCTGTACTGGCCAGCCACCAAAATAAATAAATAAATAAAATAAAATGAGATAAGCTCTTAGGTGCCTTCTATTTTTATAATTTCTAGTACTAAGGTCCAGATTGGTTTAAAGGGTGGTACACAGATTCCTTCTAGAATGGATGTTCTCATCCTGTAGTAAATTAGGCTGATAATCTGGTATTTTAAGTGCCTAGATAGTGGATAATTCCTTGGCAGTTTCCATAGTGGTTGCTGTTTATCTGACCCCTTTAAGAATTTTAGACTGGGGCCGGACCGGTGGCGCACTGGATAGTGCGCCGCTTGGGAAGCGTGGCGGCGCTCCCGCCCGAGGGTTCGGATCCCACATACAGACCGGTTCCCGCTCACTGGTTGAGTGAGGCGCGGGAGCAGCACCAAGGGTTGCAATCCCGTTGCCGGTCCCGGTCCGGTACGGGGGCGACACTGAGGGTTGCGATCCGTTGCCGGACATGGAAAAAGACAAAAAAAAAAAAAAATTTTAGACTGTTACAGGATAATTTAATAAGCATAAACTGATTAGTTTTAAATTTTAATAGTCTTTATTATTAATGTTTTCTTATGTTATTATTTACATAAATATCTGTCAAAAAACAAAACTACTTTTTGTTTATTCTTACTAGTTCACATATAGAGAGTAAAGTAGCAGATAGTTTGAAACTTGAAACACTAAAATATTTTTAAGTTTTTGAGTAAGTTTATTTGGTATTTTTATTTTCAAATGTGATTGCCATTATTGTAATTGTCACCAAAAGACCTTTATAAGGCAATAATTGTACGTGGTACTGTTCATAATACCCGCCTGAAAACAAAAGTAGGATCCATAATTAGAAAAAGATATCCTCTCAGCAAACATTTTTTGATGGTATCCTATGCACAGCAATGTGCTAGGCACTAGAGATACAAAGAAGAGTATAACAAAGTCTTGATTTCAAAGAACTTAAAGCTTCAAGAGGGAAAGAAATGGGCACAAATACCTATTGGTGGTAGACAGCTAATGCATGGTACAGACTGTGTATATGATAGTGCATTTGGAGGTGAGCATTATGCCTACTGAGTTCCACTAAAAATATTGTACAGGTCTAGCTAAAAAAGATAATGAATAAGCCCCCATTTGGCTTAACTGGCCAATTTGATGCAGTGCTTTCATAGAAATGTCGAGTTAGAATTGAAGTACAAAGGAAGACCCTGACTACCAATACACACATACATAGATAAGGTCTATCAGTCTGGTTAGGCCAGAAAAAAAACACTAGAAGATTTATGGTAATAAAGGTATTTAATATAGGAATTAGGGCTTACTCAAGTATAAGAGGAGATGAGGGAATAAAAGTCTCTGATCCTCTGGCTGCAGCCCTCCAGAAATAGTCACTAACGACTTCAGTCTGGAGACTGGAGTAGGTAGAAAAACCAGAGTTCAGAGAAGTCTGAGAAGCCGTTATATCTGTCTGTTACTACCTCAAAGCAGGAATTCAAAGAAAGGTCTGCGAAGGTTCTGCATCTGGGTACCACAGCCTTAATGTAGGAGCTCAGGGATGGGTCTATAAAGCTGTCATATCTGGCTTTCATTACCTCCCAAGAATAATGGTTTCCCTTTCCTTTCTCCATTTCAAATCTCTCATGAGTATGCCTCGTTGGCAAACTAGCTCATACCACATAGGAAAGAAGATCCTGGGCTTCTCTACATGCAAAGGTAGACTGTAGAGGTGACCATACAGAATGTAAGACTTCACATAAAGCATCAAATGAGCTAAGACATGAAGAATGAAAGTGTTTCTAGGGACAGAAGAACATTGTAGTGAGAGGGAATAGCACGTACAGAGGTGCATATGGAAGTATAAGACAGTATGATTTATTCAGGGAAAGTAAAAATCCAGTATGTGTACAGTATAAGTTACAGGGCAGAAAATTAAAGAGGTAGATGGGAGCCAAACAAGAAAAGGCTTTAAAAGTAATACAAAATCAAAAGGGAACCACTGAAAGTTTTTGATCATGGGTATAATGTGATAAAAAGTTTCATGCATTGATGGAGGGTGGACTGATTAGAGGAAAGCAAGTCTAGATACATTTAGAGGGCTGTGACAGAAATTGTAAGGGCCTGTACCAGTGTAGTTGCAACGTGAATGGAGAGAAGTCAGCAGATTTAAAGTATTTTTTAAGGGTTTTAGAGGTAAACAGAGGGGTTTATGAAGGTTCCCCTGGTCTCTGACTTGGGTGTCTGAGAACATGATAAAAACATTAATCAGTACACAGAAGGCCAGCCCGGTGGCGCACTGCTACAGTGCGCCACTTGGGAAGTGCGGCGGTGCTCCCGCCGAGGGTTCAGATCCCACATACAGACCGGCCGCTCACTGGCTGAGCGAGGAGCGGGGGCAACACCGAGGGTTGCGATCCCGTTGCTGGTCCCGGTCCGGTACAGGCGCGACACTGAGGGTTGCGATCCGTTGCTGGTCACGAAAAAAGACAAAAAGACAAAAAAAAAAAAAAAAAAGAACACAGAAAACAGGGAGAACAACTAGAGAGAAAAGTGTTTTAAGTTGAGGGAAATGATTTTGATAAATTCAGAAAAGCCTCAAACAAGATGTATGCTTCCAAGACCTGTTTCTGTTTGTATTGCAGTGTGATTTGGAAGGAATCATGCCAAATGTTACCATCGGCTTGAGTCTCCCTACCAATGGATCACCACTTCAAGATATTCTAGTTCATCCCTGTGTGACATCTCTTGACTCTGCCATTCTGACATCTAGTAGCATTGATTCAGTGGATGATTCTGCATTTAGTGGGCCTTACAAATTTCCATTAACTCCTCCTTTAGATTCATTCAACTTATGCTACTACACTTCCCAGGTAAACAACCTTGGAAACATTGAGACTGCTGATCTTTGTATTATAAATACTGCTGATAAGCAAATCCTTTATGCTCTTGGTCCAAATGAGAACTTCTCATGAGTTATTTACCAGACAATAATTGGCAAATGGCAATGAATATTCAGTTCTTTGAATAGTGTATATCTCTTATCTGTGATGTCGGTAACAGTGTTAAATGGCTTTCAAAGGCATGGATTTTTTTTTTTTTTAATGTTCCCTAATAAAAAGGCCGTTGTCATAGAATAGATCCTGATATGACTTAGTCATGGTTTTAACCATGAACATAAAATATCTATAATCCCAGGCAACCTTAGTTACAAATATATAATATTATTAATAGGCATTTATTGCTTATTGAATAAATGCTGTGTGTCAGACATTGTCCTAGGCACTTTACATGTATTTTCTCAAGTACTTTTAACAACTGTTGATGTAGGTGTTATTAGCTCCATTTTATGGATGAGGATTGTCTCAGAGAACTTAAAATGACTTGCACAAGGGCATATAACTGATAAATAGCAGAGCCTGGAAGTGAACCCAAGTTTTCCACACTCCCAGAGCTCTTTTCTACTATACAATTTGTGTCTTGTCCTTGTAGTAAATCAGTAGGTTATAAAAACCTACTCAAGCTAGTTTAAGAAGAAGGAATTTATTTTGAGAATGCAACAGGCAATCTTGCTATTATTCAAGGATAAGAAAAGAAGTAGATCCAGACCAGAGTGGGACTAGATCTAGAAAATTAATATTAAAATTACTATATACTCAGGGTCCACATTGTCTCATTTCTGCTCCTCCTTCTCTTCTTCCAACCGGCTTTCTCTGCTTACACATGACCTTACAGCTCTAGGACCTACACTATATAAGCAGAGTCTCTCTGTGTCCTACTTCAAATGTACTAGAAAGAATCATTGCCTCACCCCAGCCTACAGTTTCCCCTTCAGTTAGTTATTGATGACCAGCTACTGCTGAGCTAGGGGGTTCAGGTGGCACAAGATACAAATAGAGCAGTAGGAACTGTGGTCAGGGGGACAATGATCAGTATGTCTAGTGCAGGTCCTGTGCTGCAGGTCAGAGAACCCAGAGGAGGGGAGCATCGATGAGTAAGAGTAGGAATGAGAATGTATTGTACACCTTTCTAAGGCACCTTTCTTATCTCTGGGAATAGAAAAAGATAGAATACCTGCTCTTAGAACAAATGTAGTTCCATCATTGCTATTATCAAAACAACTTGGAGTCTCCCAATAGTCATTAAAGGTATATCTGTGTATAATAATTATATCACTGCAAGGCTTTTTTCTCAATCATCATTGGTATTTTAGATTTATTAACCTGACAGTTATATAAAAATTTGTTTATGTTTGTTTTCAGGTCCCTGTCCCACCAATTTTGGGTTTTTATCAAATGAAAGAGGAAGAAATACAACTAAAAATAACAGTTAGTTTGAAACTTCATGAAAGTGTGAAAAATAATTTTGAATTCGTTATATAAAAATTTGTTTATGTTTGTTTTCAGGTCCCTGTCCCACCAATTTTGGGTTTTTATCAAATGAAAGAGGAAGAAGTACAACTAAAAATAACAGTTAGTTTGAAACTTCATGAAAGTGTGAAAAATAATTTTGAATTCTGTGAAGCTCATATACCTTTTTACAATAGGTAGGAACAAAGTAACACAATGTCATGATTTCTACCTTCCTTGGTACCTTCCCACTGCCCCACAATAAATTATTTGTCGGTTTTTACCTTATTTTTATGATCTAAATAATTTTATGTCACTCAAATGAATGCTGGTTCTAGATCAAAACATAGTCATAAAAATAATCTATCTTTAAATGTGTCTTCATTTTTGATTAAACTTGCTGGTAAATTATAAACTTAAGCCAGTGTACTTTCTCAGGGATTATTTTAGTACTGGCTTTATTTCCAGCAATTTCTCTGTATTGTACATCCAAGAGAAGCTGAGCTATCAATAACATGGTAAGTTAGCCAATTATATCATAAGGTTACTTTCCTCATCAGCTCTAGTTTTTAATTTATTCTGCTGCATAGTTCTTTTCAAAGTATACCTAAATATGTAGTAAATCATAGTTTTAGTGTCAACCCATGTGCCTGTAGTAATACATTAATTCTATATGATTTTATAGTTGTCTTCTGTGTTAATAATTAAATGTATATCATTACCAAAAATGTTTAACTGATTTCTGGTGTTTTTCGAGATATAATATTTATTATTTGTTCTATTCTATTCTGCAAACTTGAAAACAGAACTGCTTTTATGCTGTCCTTGCATTAAGTAACAGTAGCAAGATTTGACTTAGATCTATGTTATATCCGTGATCATTTTTTTTCTATTTTGTCCTTTTTTTTTTAAAGAGGTCCAATTACACATTTGGAATACAAAGTTAGTTTTGGCCAGCTCGAAGTATTTCGAGAGAAAAGCTTATTGATCTGGAATATTGGTAAGCAAGGTTTCATATGTTGATTTTTTTTTTTTTCATTTGCTATAGAATCTACTTAATTTAGAATAGTTGATTGGTGTATTTGTGTTTTT